CGCTCTCTCTCTCGCTCTCGCTCTCTCGGCTTAGTCCGCTGTTCCGCTCCGGACACCAGGGAGCGAGATTCCGGTGATATCTGACGACTTCCGCGCGGAGCATTGTGGTGGGGGTGGTGGGGGGGGGGGGGGGGGCGGTGCGCCCTGGTGTAGGCACTGTCTCTGTGGACCAGGGTTCGTGTAAGGAAGCGAGCCTTTCGGGTAATCTGAACAGGAAGGATTGGTCAGAGGTTCAAGAATGGGATGGGGGAGGGTCTCAGCCGCAGTGAATAAACTGTCATTGGTTGGGGTTGTAGGAGCACGGTAAACTGGTGCAGTGGGAAAGATGATCAGGTGCCAGTTATGTATGTCACTGTGCCAAAACTGGTGGGGGGGTGGCGACAGTGAAAACAAAAAACAATTTTGGCTGTATTCCAAACGCCCACTCTGCTGCGGTGCAGGGTGCCTGGGGGCCAAAGGATAGGCTCTGATTGGAATTGCACACATGGACACTGGATCGGCGTGCTTTACAGCCAGTAGTGAAAAGGTGAGCTGCGGTTGGGTTGCCGGTCTCCACTGAGCAGGATGGGGGTGGACTTTGGTCTCCTCTGGTATGATGAATCTGAAAGTCTGCTTGCTTATTTGAACTCTCCCAGTTTTAAGGTGACCCTAGTCCACCTTTTCTGGCTAGTCTGTGCGTTAACTGTATTATAGTTAGTTATGACCTGAAGCTCTGCACTGGCTCACCCAGATGGTCCACTGAGCAGCTGCTTTCACATGCTCCCTGCTGGAACCGCTGGTACATGTGCGAGCCTGATGGCCTTGAGACCGCATTGGGTGGGGGGGGCAGCGGAAACCAGCCCCGTCCCCCCCCCGTCCTCCCAGCAGTGTGACAAGCCCTGCTGAATGAACCCGGCCCCTTGCCTCATTACCGCCATTTATCCTCCATGAAGAGGATTACATCTGCATGCGGCCCAAAGTCCGTGCATTTCGCTCAGAATTGGGCGGTGTCGCATCACCCCGGGGGTATCTCAGTTGGAGGCCCCTTGAAGCCTGACTGCCTTTACCATGTCTGCCCCTGGTATCCCGCAAACTGGGTCCACGGTAAAACCTGCAGTTGATGCCAGTTTTTGGAGCAGGCCTGGTGTAAGGCCAGACAAGGCTCTCCATGTGTGCTTCCTGCTAAGTCAAAGCAATAAATAAATAAATCCGCATCACCGTGAACACAGCCATCGCCGCGGTACTAATGGATTAGCTGACTTGGCAATTAACCCAATTTGGGAATTAGCTAGATGTCCGTTTCATTTTGTGTTGAACCCGCCTGTGTGAAGGTCAGGTTCGGAGAGTGAGGTCAGACCTCATGTGATTCCTCACTTGGTGTGTGGTGTGAAAATACATCTCGTACTTTACCAATATCATTTCATTAGACCAAACACTTTGTCATCTCAGAGTGTTTTAATACAAACTCTTGAATCCTTTCACTTTTACACATTTGGTTTTGTGTGTTGCGCAACTGAACTGGACTGACAGCCCAATGTTTGCACTATTAAGCAACAGGTTTGCGGTTGTAACTTGGGATTTCATCGACAGCTCGGCTGTTTCTCTAACTACTTTCCGTCTGTCGCGTGTGTGACTCTTTGGAATGTCAGACAAACTACAAAGAGACACGCTCGTTTGAATGCGGGGTGGGGAATTCAAGGTAATTTCGGGGACGCTTTGACTTGACAATGTGCGAGTGTTTTCGTGACAAGTATGAGAAGCACAGCACAGCACCCCCTCTCCGGCTGTCTCCGACTCCTTGGCAGTTCGACTGAATGCTTGATGGCCCCTGGCTTTTCTCGTCCATTTTGATTAGCCCCCTTTGTAGTGTGCAAAACTATGTTGACATTGAGTAGGTCCAGATAAGACTTGCTGGAACTTTTAGCCTTTCTAGTTTTCATCTCGTGAGCTGGGGTTACGTCAATCTCCCCCCCCCCCCCAACAGCGCCAGCTCATTTGCCTCCATCAGCTACACTTAAGTCTCCTTAATGACTTCAGACCAACCACCCTCAACTTGCCATGTCCATTTAAAGCAGAGACTTGCGTGTGGCTGCCCTCAGTCCCGGAGGCTTTCCTTGCCGGGAACCAAGGATGATGACCAAGACTCTTGGGTTTATTAGTCCCGAATTTTGTCCGTAACACAGATCAGCTGGGCTGGTCTTTTTCAAGTGTTGTCCTTTGAACAAACTTAATCGCGAGCCCAATTTGGGCAATTTGGGCCGTTAGGCTGGTATGTGGAGATATCGGCCACTTGATGGCGGTAGGCTGTCTGATCTTGGGCACCCTGCCCAAAGTGTGGTGTGGCGGAAGCTTTTCCGATCACAAGCTGGCAGAATGGGTGCTGCGGGAGTCGCCCTACAGCTCCCCCCCCCCGAGGGCCCACTCCAAAGAGATCACTCTAACATCTGTACGCCAAGACCTTTCACTCGGCTGATTGACTTGGCCAACAGACAGCACCTCCGTTTTACCCTGATGTCCGTTGCCTGTAGATCCGTCTACTTGATGTTTTATCGCTTGAAATATTGGGACAGAATTCACAGGGGAAGTTCTCCCTCCTCCAAGGCAACCTGGAAACTGGCTTAGATTTGTACAGCAGATTTGCGTGACTCTTCAGTATTTAACAATGTTTAGACACATGTGCTTCAGTGGGATGTCTGTGTGAGGTGGTTATCTGGAGAAAGAGTCCTCAGTGTTCCTGCCCGCTGAACACCAGTCAGCTGCCAGTTGGTACGATTGCCCTGTACTGTAATGTGTTTTCTCTCCCACCATAGACGTGAAGATGGGTTGCATCAAGAGCAAAGAGGACAAGGGGTCCTCGAAGTACCGGTCCGAGAACACGACGGACTCTGTCAGCGCACACGTGGTCCATTATGGGCCAGAACCCACGCAGCTGGACCCAGCCCCTGCCGGAGGCTACAACAGCCACTCGGTGACGCCCTTTGGCGGCCTGTCAGTCATGGCTCCCTTTGGGGGTGCGTCGTCATCCTTCTCCAGTGCAGTGGTCAACACTTTCCCGGGCTCTGTCTCAGGTGAGATGTCCATCGCCCTGGTAACCTGGTTACACAGCTGCAGTTCAAGCTTAAGGTGAACATCATGTTAGCGTTTCTGACCATGTCGAGCTTCTTCTCATGCATCATGGGTTTTCAAGGGGCACTTAATCTCCATTGTAGATCGGCTAGGTGCTTCAGTGCTTGGGCCGAATGAAGGTCCACCTACGCCCCTCAACGTCAGGATCCCCCCCCCCCACCCCAAGTATTTGTTTTTATAGGCTTGGTCTTCAAGTGTTGAGTTTGTCACAGGTCTTAGATTTTAGTCTTCTGGTCAGACCTTGTCAATGGATGCATCTTTGTGGAACAGATTCGTAAAAGAGCCTTTCATAATGGCATAGGTTTGTTTTGTCAATGCATCTGTAATATATTTCTCTAGATAAGTCATCTAGTATTGAAACGCTTCAAATGATGTGATCTGTTTATATAGTTGGTTGCTTTGTCTGGTGTAAGCAGTTGGATGGATGGACGTGTGTATTCAAGGGCACAACAGCAGGAACTTTCCCTGACCTGCACTGACAGTTTTCCTGCCTCCTGTGTGGCTTTTCTGTTCCCTGTTTCCTTTGGGGATGGGAGGGGCGGTACTTAATTCAGCCAGTTCCCCCCCAGGACTCATCATTATTCCTAATGAAGAGCGTGTCCTGCCCATAAGCAGCTTCTATTCATTTTCCAAGGCTGAAGAGCTTGGATTCTGCGGGCGTGGGAGGAATCCGTCGACCAGTTTACCCCCCCACCAGCGGAACAAAGCCAATTTCTTGCATGGCTAGAGGCTCACGAGTGCAGTTTGGATTTGACGGTTAATTGAATTTCTGTTTTGAAGTGTGACGTATCGCCCCCTTGTGCCAAACCTCTGGCGTTGCCGTCTATGGTAACTGGCTACATCAGAGGCGTCCGTGTCTCTAAGCCCCACGCACGGGCCGTGTGTTTGTGGGGGGGGGGGTCGTCACACGTCGATCTCCAAAGATCATCCTGCATCTTTACATGCTGATATCCAATGCTCTTCCACCGAAATCTGATGTCTGCCTGCATGTTTACTGGAATAGGAATGTCGTCCCCCCCCCCCGTCTGTCGTGCCCCCGCAATTAGACAACCCTGGGATGTCAAAGCTGGTGGTTGAACACGAATCCTTCAGAGAGCCTTCAAGAGCTTGTGAGCTTAAGCTCTATAAAAAGTAAAATTTATCGTAATTGTTTGAACAGAGAGGCACTTACAGTCAAAGCACATGTAGAACAATTCCCCGATCGTTGTGATTTATTATTATTTTTCCTTTGGGGGAGGGGTACGTTTGGGCATGTGTGAAGGGTCTAGGGTTTCGAGTTGGCAGATTGTCTTCTGATAGGAGGAGGGGGGGCCAGAGGCCCCAGATGTCTGACTCCTTCTGCAGATGGGTGGGATTAGGCGCCAAGGAGGGCACAAGACCCCCCCCGGAGTCATGCAGCTGTCGTCCTGCGTCACCGGTCCTGTGTCACCTCTCCCACGCGACTTACTCGGACTCGCCAGTGCTGTGGCGTGGAGTATTTTACTGTCGAGCCCAAATTGGCCGTCAGAACCAGGGGATTCTCTTACTTCGTGGACACAGACCAGTTTTACTGGGTTTGTGGGGCAGATGAGCAGGTTCAGTCATTTGGGGGGGGAGGGGGTTGCTGGGCTCGCCAGATCTGTTCAGAGGAGCTTCACGCATCAGGACATTGAGGAAAATCATGAAAAACATGCCCTTTTTGTGGGCTTTTGGGCCTCTATAGCGAACTCACTTCAGATTGTAATCCTCTCGGCAGGCACTGGGGCCCAGTGCGGTCTCTGACGCCCTGCCAGACTGTTATCTGACCCCATTTTCAGCCATGGAGGTAATTTAAAGCAAAACCTTTTTTTGTAAAGGTGCTTGGTGAGAGCAGTGACTCAAATGTACTGTCATGAATTTGTCATGGTGAGCAACGGGTCCACAGTACAGGAAGAGTGGTGTGTGTGTGTGTGTGTGTGTGTGTCGAGAGTTTTGAACCCTTTTGTTATTGGCTCTGATTCATAGCTGATTCTTGTACTTGATCATCATCTGTGACGCTTGAATTTCGGGATCCTCTGGGTTTATCCACTGTCGGGTCGGGACAGAACCTGTCATGGCGGATGGAGGCACCTGTGCCGTGTCTCCAGAATGTCTGCATCCTGAAATCGGCACCCCTTCCCCCCCCAGTCTTTCCACAAAGACCTTTCCTTGGCTGGTCTGGGGTGTCCACTTGCCTGACCCCCTCCTGTCATCTCGCTGTAGTGCTTCTTCGCACGGCCGTGTTCATGTCCCGGTTTCACGGGGGTGCGGCCCAAGTAAAGTGGTTTGAACTGTTAAAAACACAAACTGGGTCTGGTTTACATAACCCTATCCTCAGGTTGTAATGAGACCCTGTTTTCCAATTTTAGGAGGGGTTACGTTTTTTGTGGCCCTGTACGACTATGAAGCCCGGACCTCTGACGACCTCTCGTTCAAGAAGGGGGATCGCTTCCAGGTCATTAATAACACGTAAGTGGCCTTGGCAGGGTGGGGGGGCGGGGGGGGGGGGGGTTTGTCAGGAGTTAGGTCAGAAACTGCAAGCTCAGATCTGGCTGTAAATCTTGCCTTGTACCTGCGGAGACGGAGGTTTGGCCGCCAGTGGAAGACCCTCATATTGTGTTGTATCCAGCTTATATCCCACTAAGGCAATTTCTCCCCCCAGGGAAGGAGACTGGTGGGAAGCACGATCCATCAACACTGGGAAGAAGGGATACATTCCCAGTAACTACGTGGCCCCCGCTGACTCCATCCAGGCTGAAGAGTAAGGCCTTTTACGTCTGGTGCCGTCTAATGGTCAGAGACCATCGTGCTTCCTCGTGTGGGCGGACGTCTGCTCACCCCGTCGAATCATGAACGGGGCCGAAAGTCCATCTTGATTCGGGCAGTACGAGCGAAATCCCGTTATTATCGGGGCTTTCATTTCAGCCTTTGTGTGGGATTAAAGGCCCCATTTGGAGTCTGATTGCCCCGGTGTTCTAATCAAGCCAGATCCTGCTGCAGCACCCCCTCCCCAACATGTGAGGATTTCTTTTCCCCCTCCCCTACAGTTGTGCACACTGGGTATTCATGCGATAAGCAGACCTCCCCACTCCATCTGTTACCCAGATTTGTCGTGCCTGACTGTTATCCTTCCGTTTCACGGGACAGTTCTGCAGAGGATCCCGACACCCCATTAGATGAACCCAAATTCCTCTGCTTTTCGTTCTTTATGTGCCGGTGGGGTGTTGGTAAGTGGGTTTCGAAGCTCGCTGGTTCAAATCCTAGCTGGACGAGTGATCAGCTCTTTGTTGGGCTCTTGAGAAAGTCCCTTATTTTGGGGCGCAATGTGTAGCTCAGCAGGTTAGGACTCTGTCTGTCATTGGAAGGTTGCTGGTTCAAATCCCATGCTCGGCAGAGTGTCACCTTTGGCTCCCTGAGCATGGTGCTTAACCCCCAGTTGCTCCAGAGACCTTTCTCACCCTACTTTCCCAAATTATGTGCCGCTTTTGTTAAAAGCGTCTGCTGAATAAAAGTAATAAATGTTTTGAATCTCGGCTCCGGTTCATCTCTGACCTTAAACCCTCGAACAGGATCGA